ATTTCCGACCCGGACAATTTTAGGGGTCTACAAGGATTATATATTGATGTTTGGTTATCAAATTCATCAAAATATTAGGTTAATAGATCATGAATCAAATCAATGAATCACTAATTAATGGATCAAGAAATAAATCAACAGCTCATTAATTAATCTGTATGATTTGATTTCTATTAATTTTTTAAAATTATATTTTTGTAATATATATATATATATATATATTACAAAAATATAATTTAAAAAAATTAATAGAAATCAAATCATACAGATTAATTAATGAGCTGTTGATTTATTTCTTGATCCATTAATTAGTGATTCATTGATTTGATTCATGATCTATTAACCTAATATTTTGATGAATTTGATAACCAAACATCAATATATAATCCTTGTAGACCCCTAAAATTGTCCGGGTCGGAAATAAAACTCGAAGACTCTCGAAGATCAAAGGAAAGTCAGCCGGAAGGACTCCTGGAAGACCCTGGAAGACCCTAGGATGACAATCTGTAGGTTTAGAGGTCTTAGAGTAGCAAAAAATAAGAAAGTGGAGGGAATGAAGCCCAATACGGCCTCCCAAAAGTTCAGTACGGCCGTATTGAACATTTTGAACTACAATACGGCCGCACTGAACTCAATACGGCCGTATTGAAGTTTCTGAACTTCAATACGGCTGCAGACATTTTTTTAAGACATGATATAAATTTTACTATAAATTATATTTTTGTAATATATATATATATATATATATATATATATATATTACAAAAATATAATTTATAGTAAAATTTATATCATGTCTTAAAAAAATGTCCAAAAAAATTGTAGTTAATAAAAAATCAAATTATAAATCAATTGAACGACATAATTAAATATATAATTTTAAATTAAGTATATAATATAAATTATTTATGTCAATTATATAAAATAGAATATGTTGGTTTAATGGTCACTATAGTTCTAAATAATCACATTTATTTGAGTTAAGTATCAATTTGTTCAAAATTACTTTTATTTTTATTTTATAAAAAGAAATATATATATATATATATATATATATAACTAATTCTAATTTGCTTATTAAAAAAATATAACTAATTCTAATTATTCCTTAAGTATCCAAATGACACAAGTTCAAATCTCATGTCATGCTAAAATCGTCCAATTTCATGAAGCATTCATCATTCAGAGATCGCATGGTAATAAATAAAATATAATTTAATAGAAACTCATTTTTTAAGCATTCATCATATATCATATTTGTCAAATATTTACTCAAAAGTTCAATTGGTGGAGTGGTATCACATGTTTCTTCAACCACAATGACATGGTTCAATTCTTGCTGTTCGAATTCAGCTAATATTGATGGACCAATCTTTTGGTAACTACAAGAAGCTACCCCTCCTAATATTTGCATTTATTTGAAAATATGGCAATTGCCTCCTATCTTTGGGGAGCACATATTCTAATTGTTTTTTTAAGTACAGTTTCCCATAATTGAAATTTATAAAGTTTTATAAAATTGCAGTGGGACTCCCTTATTTGCAGTTAGTAAAATTTGTCCCCGTTCATCTAATTTTTTTTATATATATAGTTAACACCTAGAAATAATTGAATTTCACAATATGAAGTTGATGCCAAATTCAATAGTTGTTATTTCAAAACATCTCATACTTCAAGAGACACTTTCAATGTTCTATTAATCAAGGCTTTGTTAGCTAACATTGACATTGGCCCATTCGGCTAGTTTCAAATTCAAACCAGCTATGGTACTTTGATAGTTAATGCTCCAACAGTCAATGCTTCAATTGCTGACTTTGATAACTAATGCTTCAACAAATGATGATGTTTCCATAATTGATCTTGTGTTTATTTCTTATATTCAACAAATAGCTCCATGTCATTTCCTTTTTGAATATGATTAAAGTCTCTTGGAATTATTCTATTAACATTTATTTGAGCCCGTTAAAATCCAATAACAACCTTTAGCCTATTTTAACTTTGCAACTACATTCAACTGATTATGGATTAGCAAAATCTTTTATACCTATTCAACTTGACAATTGCATTAGTTAATCAGATTATATTAATTTAGCTGATCGATGAATATTCATAGATTAAATGAGTGGCTCATTATATGATTTGATCCACTAGAAACTTCAAATCACATCTTAACTTAGCAACTTTGTTTAGCTAATCTCACTATTCTGATAATTTCTCCTAAATGGTTAAACAGTCTTTGACTACTTAGTTAATTAAATCAGCTAGTTGTTAATCAACTAATATCAATTATTATTCAATCAACCATTATCAATTTTTTTGGTTGCTAATAAATTCTTTGACTAATTTCAGAAGGAAAAGTTAGTAGAGGTGTGAACAAAGAAGGAATCAACTATTACAATAACCTCATCAATGAACTATTAGCCAAAGGTCAATATGCAGTTGAATTTTATTTTAACTAAATTTTATTTTCATTAATTTAGTTTTAAATGAAAACAATTACCTTAATTAGGGGGCATCCATAATGCAGGTCTAAAACCATTTGTGACCATTTTTCATTGGGACCTTCCACAAGCCTTAGAAGACGAATATGGTGGTTTTTTAAGTCCAAACATAGTGTAACTCGCGACTCCTATAGCTAATAATCAACACATATTTAGGTGAAAACACTAACATATATCTACTTTATTTATAGGAATGATTTTCAAGATTATGCAGAACTTTGTTTTAAGGAATTTGGAGATAGGGTAAAGCATTGGATTACATTAAATGAACCATGGACCTATAGCAAATATGGCTATGCTGATGGCATATCAGCACCTGGAAGATGCTCAACTTGGCAAAACAAAGACTGTGCTGGTGGTGATTCAGCCATTGAGCCCTATATAGTAACTCACAATCAATTACTTGCTCATGCAGCTGCTGTCAATGTCTATAAGACAAAGTATCAGGTATTATTATATATTTGTATTTTGAAAAATCAATTAAATAAGTGTATGGATTTCCTTATTTAATTATGAGTCATAGTTAATCCCCAAACAATTTCCTATCACTTATCAATGTAGGCATCTCAAAAGGGTATAATAGGGATATCACTATCATGTAACTGGATAGTGCCACTCTATGATACAGAGTTGGATCATCATGCTGCACAAAGAGCCATTGATTTTATGTTTGGATGGTAATTCCTTTATGAAGTTAAAGTCATATGTGGGACTCAAATATATATATATATATATATATAGAGATAATCACCTATACACTGTTAGTGTAAAATTTTTTACATTGACAACCAATCATATCTTTTAATAGTGTCATATTAGTTACTTATTTAATAAAATAAAATAAAAAAATAATTTAAAAGATATGATTGGTTGTCGGTATAAAATATTTTACACTGGTAGTGTATGGATGATTAATTCATATATATAATATATTATATTGACTTTTATTTAAAGGGAAATCATAAACTAGTGTAACTTTTTTTTTTGTCATTTTTATTTAATACAATGATATTTTGCTAAATGGTAGAAGAAATATTTTTAAATCTTGTCACACAACAATACGTGATGTAATATGTTTTCCACATAATTTAATAGAAAAATGTCTCAATTAAGAAAGTCAAAATTCGTGTCCACAACCTTAATTCAATGTCACATAGAAATAACTAATGAGTGAAAGCTACTTTTCTTTTTTATGCTAGGCAAACCCATAAATAAGTCTAATTAATGGAAAAAAAAAGCTTTTATATTAGAATGATAAGAGTGCAAGTTCCATCATTAGAAACCATAATGAGCAATTCAATCCATCTAATAAAGTCCAATAAAAATATATTCATTATTTATCATATTTTATGATTAAAAAATAATCTTCCTAAGTAGTATATATAATATTTCAAAGAATTTATCCTAAATAATTATTTATGATTTATCTAAGCATTATTATACTGCAGGTTTATGGAGCCATTGACAATAGGAGATTACCCTAATTCTATGCGATCTTTGGTAGGGAGCCGATTACCAAAATTTTCAACTTATGAGGTTGAACTTGTAAGAGGTTCATATGATTTTATTGGATTAAACTATTATACTTCTTATTATGCTACTGATGCACCTGAATTAAGTGAAGACATGCCTAGCTTCCTCACAGATTCTCGTGTTGTTCTTACAAGTAAGTGCACTTTCATGATATCATAGAACAAACTTTAATACATGAAAAAGCGATTATGCGATCATAAATATCAACAAATTGTTATCATTACTCTAATGAATTAATTAATTCAATTTTACCAACTTTTGGTTTAATACATTAGCAAGTTTACAAATATTTTAAGAACTTTTAATTAAGTTTCTAAACTTAAAAAGTTTTGTAATTGGGTTATATATAAATATTTTACAATTTTTTAATTGACTTTCTTGAGTTAATTTATGATAGTTTTAACACACAAATAACAATTTATGGTAATTTTGCAATAAATTATAAAAGATCAGATACTCAATTACAATTTTTTTTAGAAACTTAATAATTAAAAGGCTTGTTAAATCTACTTATTATTATTGAATTTTGTCAATAGTAGATCATGATGTATAATAATACGGTGACAGGTGAACGTAATGGAATACCTATCGGTCCAAAGGTAAGTTTGTAAATACTTTAATTTAATCAACAATCAATTAATTAAACATCAATGCTTTGTTTCAATTGATTTTTCGAATCGAACTTGATGAAAGAAACATCTATACTTGCAGACTACTTCATTATGGGTGTTTGTTTGTCCGAAAGGAATTCACCAATTGTTGCTCTACGTTAAAACAAAGTATAACAACCCTTTGATCTACATCACGGAAAATGGTAATGTATTCATTTATGAAAATTTAGTTCATTGGAGTAAGCAATAGATAGACAATCAATTAATAGATTAAATTACTTTTTTAAGTCATTTAATTTATTTAATTGGTTTAATTTGTTTCTTTTTTATTATTAAAAGGTTTAATTAAGTTGCCTAACTTTTACAAATGATCCAATATGATTTTTTTATATCTAACGACATTAACATTACATTTTGTATATCATTAGTCTCAATTAGATGAAAAGTTTTGGAATGCAAACAAGATTTCACATCGATAAAATAAAAAGAGAAATAATATTCTTTCAGACAAATATCATAAAATAACTTCAACAAAAAGAATTATATATTATATTATTTTTTAAAATTTACATGACCAAATAAATTAAATTGAATAAAATGAGAGAAAAATATAATCTAATTAGCATTATGCTTTCATTTATATATATAGGTTTAGATGAAGTCAATGATCCAAAACAATCTCTTGAGGAAGCTCTTCATGATGTTTCGAGAGTTGATTACTTTTATGATCATCTCTATTATCTTGGAAATGCAATCAAGTAAGTGTTGCACACCACATTAGAAAAGTAGTTTTCTTGTTTTAGTTAATCTATATATAAACCCGTTTATATTTAAAATTTATTTTTGAGAATGTGTACTTTTCCTGATTTTTTTTGTTAAACTAATCATTATATCTTTAAATATGTTTTAATTCCTATAAAATGAGCAAGTTTTTATTTTCGTTTTTGTAAAATTTTCTTTTTGTTTTTTATCCCTCCAAAACTCTGTAACTTCTATTTTTATTATCTATTATTATGTAATTATTTTTAACTATTTATTTATTTATTAAAAGGTCGAGTGATTATCACATATGTTACCTACAACTGTTTGTGATAAACAATGTCGGTATAAGACATCTTCAAATTTTTTTATTAGGGATAGTAATATGGGTTGAAATCAGTGGGTCAACCTGTAAACCCACTTATTTTTTATGGGCTGGGTAAATAAATCTACCAACCTGCTCCACTCAACTCGCAAACCCAATGGTTACAACCACTAATTTAGTAGGTCAACCTATCAACTCACTTATTATTTTTTTTATATTCTTAAAAGATAAATTTGTATAGATTTATGTTTGATAAATGTTTTTAATTTGTAGTTTAATTTCTCTTTTTCGATAATTATTCTCATTTTATATGAAATAGAAGTATATTTTCTTAATCACATGTTTTTTATTAGTATGTTTTCATGAATAATATTATTTTAAAATAGAAATATATATTACTTTGACTCTTTGCATGAAAAAAACATAACTCCTCTACTCAACTTTACAAATAGTAATCAAATTATAGATTTAGGGTTTCAATTATTTTTTTTCGAAAAAAAATTGGGTGCGTCAAAGATAATTAAGTCACTTTGTCAACCCACTATTTTTAACTCACTAACTCACTAAAATCGACCAACTTGCCAACTCACTGCTAAGTGAGGTAAGTTACATTTTTCAATCCATTTTCTTAGTGGGCCAACCTTGGTTTACCCAATTTCTTTGATGGATCAACCCACTCCACTTTAGGTAGATTGACCAACTTTAATTTGTCACTCCTATTTTTTATAGATCTTTAAAAGAAATATTATTTATCTACTTTAAAATGATCATTAGAGAGCAAAATTAGTGACTTTATATTTTAGAGAAATAAAAATATTAAAAAAAAAAATATTTTACATTGACCAAAATCAAAATTTTATCGTTTTACAAGAATAAAACAAATGTATACAAATTTTAGATCGATGAGAATAAAAAAATGTATATAAAACTACAGGGAACAAAATCAAAACTAATTTCTACAAAGATAGAAAACATATGTAGGTCTTTTTTTATATCAAGTATCTTTCATTTTTTTTATCTCTATACTATTGTTTCAAATTAATTAATAATTTACACACATATATATTATCGAATTAATGGACACAACGATGATGTATTTTGATTTTAAAATAATTATTTCATAATTTTTATTTAAAAAATCTTATCTTTTTATTTACTTTCATTTAATAAAATACAATTCTTTTCATTAATAATATAGAAATCTACTATTATGATTTTCTTGATGTGATTTCATTATTATTATTATTATTATTTAACAACAACAATATTTTTTTTTGCATATTTAAATTTTTATCTAAATATGAAAATATTTAATAAGGTTAGATAAACTTGTTATAAAATATTGAGATGCATAACTTAATTATTTTGTTGATTTTGAATATGTTAGGGATGGTGTAAATGTGAAAGGATATTTTGCATGGTCATTACTTGACAGTTTCGAATGGAATTTAGGCTACATTTCAAGGTTTGGAACAATCTTCGTAGATTACAATAGCCTAAAAAGGCATCCAAAGTTATCAGCTATTTGGTTTAGAAATTTCTTACAACGCCAAATAGTTATATACGATGATTTGTGAAATGAGCTTGTGAAGGTCCAAATATGCTTTAAAGTTAAAAAACAAAGACTAAAACTATGTATGAGACTCAACATCTTTATTATAGATTATTGTTTTATTTTATTTATTTTAAAATAATATGATGGTGACATATGGGTAATTATTATCTATTGATTAACATTAATTCAAGTCCTATATAAATATATTTCTTTTTGGAAATCATTATCAACGAATAGAGAATTTATAGCATTATTTCTCTTTTTCACTTGTTCTTTACTACGCATAATTAAGTTATCTAGTGTAGCATCCCTTTTAGTAGTCTAATAATGGTATAAGCAATACATATATATCTCATAAAATAATAATAAGAGGAGTGAGAATATATCTCACACATGTATAACACATATAAGTAATATGGATAACATCCACTACTAGAAAAATTAATATTTGTGACGAATGTTTGTGACGGACAAAATATTGTCACTAATAGTGACGAATTTTGTGAGAAAATTTTAATTTTTGTGACGGACTACCATTTATTGAAGTTTGTAACGAATTTTGTGACGGATTAAATTTTGTCTCTAAAAGACCCGTCACAATTTTTGCCACTGAATAACAAAATAAAATTAGTGACAGATTTTATGACAGATTAAGTTCCTCTATAAATATTCCCTCACAAAAATGCGTCACAACACTATAATAAATAAGTCAGTGACGGATTTTGTGACGGAATTTTTGTCAACATTTGTATTTTGTAACAAATTTCGTCACAAATAGCTTAAAATTTTTATGACAAAATTTGTGAGGAATTATTGATCCCTCTCAAAATATTAAATTTTATTTATGAAATTTTTATATATAAGAATTATGCAGAATTAAAGAATATATGTTAGGAAATTTATATTTTTGATGGACAAAAAATTCTTAGGAAAAGTTATATTACTGATGAAATATTTCCGAAAAATTTATATTTGTTGAAAATGTAAGAATTTTTTATGAAATATGACAATCATATATTAAAAAAGGTCAATAAAATTAATTATATATATATATATATAAGGAGGGTTATAATAACATAGATATAACTTTTATTAAGTATTACACCGCTCAATAACTTTATATTAAATGAGAATTTTTTAAATCTAACCGTTAAATTAAAAATTCTTTACTCTTAAATCATATATGCAAAATTTTATATTAATCCAAGATGATTTGATACTTCATTATTATAAAATGAAATTAACGTAATATATACATTTCAAAATATACGAAAATATGAACATTTTGATTACCTTCACGTTGTTGTTCAATTTTAACAAAATTTGATATAAACATATTAAGTGATATGAACTTTCAATCTAACGGTTGGATTTATAAAATTCACATTTAATATAAAGTTATTGAGCGATGTGTAATACTTAATAAAAGTTACACCGGTATTAATATAACCCTCCTCTGTCTCTCTCTCTCTCTCTCTCTCTCTCTATATATATATATATATATATATATATATATAGAGAGAGAGAGAGAGAGAGAGAGAGACAGAGGAGGGTTATATTAATACCGGTGTAACTTTTATTAAGTATTACACATCGCTCAATAACTTTATATTAAATGTGAATTTTATAAATCCAACCGTTAGATTGAAAGTTCATATCACTTAATATGTTTATATCAAATTTTGTTAAAATTGAACAACAACTTGAAGGTAATCAAAGTGTTCATATTTTAGTATATTTTGAAATGTATATATTACGTCAATTTTGTTTTATACTATATGATCTTAATATTTTTGTATAACTAATATCTGGTTTTAAATTTGATATGAGAATATTATGATATAATTAGATAAGATTTTAAGTTAGTATTTTATTAATGGTTGATAATTAGAAAATAAAATAAGGATAAATACATTTTTTGAATTTTATATGTTTGATTTAAGATAAATAAATATATTAAATTAATTAATAATTTATATTTAAAATGTTAAAATTTAATTTATAAGTATGTAATAAATAAATATTTATAATTTTATAAATTATATTATCATTATAAATTATAAAAATAAATAATTTAAATTATAATTTTAAATAGAAATAAGTAGATTGTTAATTATAAAAGTAAGTATATATAAATAAAGATTAATTAAATATATTATTTTTATTATTCGTAATATAATTATTATATATTATTATATTTTTATAGTAATCTAACAGTTGGATTTACAAAATTCACATTTAATATAAAATTATTGAGCGGTGTGTAATACTTCGTAAAAGTTACACCAGTGTTAATATAACCTTCCTCTCTTTCTCTTTGATAGAGAGAGATAGAGAGAGAAAGAGTGGAGGAATCAAATAATTTACAAAATAACTCTTAATAAAGTTATTCCGCTCAATAACTCATGGTGTGTGTTGAATTTCATCGATCCAATTATTAAATTAAAAGTTATTAAATTTTGCTAATAATTAATATAGAAAAAATTAATTAGCTTTGGAATAAATTATTTACTAATTAACAATATAATTGAAACATTAATTATTTGAAATTATTTAATTAAAATCTTATTGACAATTTACTATATGATCTTAATATTTTTGATATATTATTATTATAATTCAAATATGAGATTGTATAGTTAAGGATGACTTAAATGAATTAATTTGTACAAGTTATATTGACAACATGCATATACATTTTAGTAGCTTATCTCATCAGAACTTCACAGTTAAGCATGCTTGACTTGGAGTAATATAGGGATGGGTGACCTTCTTGGAAGTTTTCCAGAAATCATGCAAGAAAGGATAAAACACGCTAAAAAGTGAAATGTCGGGAAATAGAACCCTTGAGAGGCCAATATCCCTCTCAACTTGTGATGTTAATAAGAGACACATATCTTTAACAAATTTGTGACGGAATTTGTGACGGAGTTGATCCGTCACAAATTATTTATTAGTGACGTAAACAAGTCGCTCACAAGTTGCGACGTAATTTTATTAATTTATGAACATTTAATATTAGAAATTAGTGACGAAAAATATATTTTTGTGATGCCTTAATTCCGTCATTAATTGTGACGGACTGAAATTATCAGTCACTAATTTGTTTTGTGACGGATTTTATAAAATTTAGTGACGGATTCGTTCCCTCTCTAATTTTAATTTTTCTAGTAGTGATCTATAAACATATAAACACCATTCAGACACACTTAAACAATCATAAGTAGTACTCCATAATACATTGATTTCCTAGCCAACCAATCGCATTCAGTATTCAATGATTCATGTAATTTATGTTCTTACTTCTACATGCATACAGTACCAATCTCCAACATTGTCAAAGGTGCTTTAAATACAAAGCAACCTAGGAGAACATAGACCAAATCACCACACACTAGTGGCCCTTTCAATCCATTCACAACTAGGAAAAGATCTATTAGGATTCAGTCGGAGCATTATAGTCGATCGTGGTCACCTCCTATACTCATTATAGGTTCTCTACCATAACACCCCCAAAGATAAGGTAGAAGACCATAAAGATCCTCTTGCATAGATTCGCACCACCTCCAAAGAAATCACTAGTGGAAAAAAGACTTTTAAAATCGGTTATTTTTTACTTTTAAAATCGGTTCTGTAACCGATTTTAAAAGAGCCGATTTTAAAAGTTCTTTTAAGATCGGTTATTTTATAACCGATCTTAAAAGTCTAGCCGTGAAAAAAAAATTAAACTGGAACGGCCCGTTCCAAAACCGAAACGGGCCGTTCCAGTCTGATCAAAAGGCCTAAAAGTTCACTTGAAGTACGGGGCGTTCTCCAGGGAGAACGACCTGTTCTCCTTGAAAAACGGCCCGTTCTCTATGGAGAACGGCCCGTACTCCTTGGAGAATAGCCCGTTCTCCATGGAGTACGGCCCGTTCTCCTCGGAGTACGGCCCGTTCTCCCTGGAGAACGGGCCGTTCTCCTTGCAGAACGGGCCGTTCCAGCTGCGAAATTTTCCCAAAATGAACCTACAACGAAAATTGAGACGAGAAAAGCATGAGAAAACGAAAAGAGACACAAAAAGAACATAAGCAGACGAAAATGAAAACAAAATTTACCTGGAGACTTTAAAAAATGAGAAAGATTAAAGAAAATGAGAATGGAGGGGAATATAAAAGATTTCTGACAATACTTTTAAAGTCGGTTAATTAAGAACCGATTTTGTATACTACATACAAAATCGGTTATGAAAGAACCGATCTTAAAAGTGGCACTTTTAAAATCGGTTATAAAAGAACCTTAAGATCGGTTCTTTCATAACCGATCTTAAAAGTGCTTTTAAGATCGGTTCTTTTGTAACCGATCTTAAAAGTACCACTTTTAAGTTCGGTTCTTTTATAACCGATCTTAAAAGTACTTTTAAGATCGATTAAATTTTAACCGATCTTAAAAGTGTTCATGTTATTTACAAAATTGCCACCGCGTCACTTTTAAGATCGGTTACCTTGTAACCGATCTTAAAACTCCGAATTTAAATCCAATTTTTGCACTAGTGAATTATGCATGAATTCATGGACTCTCATACCACAAAATTAAACACAACAATCAATGCGCACGCTCAACGCCAACATCATTAGTTTGCCACACCTTTCTATTTGGACTTTTCCACAAGACTAAGACTCCACCTGGATTTTCTCATGTCATCGCCAACATCACCTCTTTACTCTTAATATTTAATCTCTTTCATAATATCCACTTCTCCTTTTTAATTACTCAATTATATTTATAATTGTACTATATCTTTTCTCATCTTTTTCTCTCTATTGTTATCCTTTATTTTCATTCTCACTTTTTTCCTCTATTTGATTATCTACTTATGGTTATTGAATTTATTTTTCTCATCTTTAATATATCACTCTCTCACAGGTTAGTTATTTTATTTCAAGAATTACTATCTCTTTCTCACTCAATGACACTATGCTCATGAAGACCAAAATTGTGTCCAATGTGGAGACGTTAGGGATCTTTCTATCACATTCACGCTTGGCAAGTCAGTTTGGCCTAAGATCATTTCACCCATTGGACTAAGTAGGTTGATGCAAAATATTTAGGTCACCTTTTTCAAGACCTAACTTAGTGATATTTACAA